GAATTATTGCTGCGTTGTTCATTTTATGGCCCCGACTTTATCCTTGATACCTTTATCCTCAATATGTTTTGGTAATAATGTAAACATGTCGGGTGAAAAACAAATCTCTGAGAGTTTTTTCTGAACAACTGAAACCTGATCCTAATTAGAACACTCCACTCGGCCAAGCTATGATTTCGGGAAATTTCGAGCACGATTCTCGACCACCAAAGGCGTTCGGAAAAGGGTCAGTCATCCATTGGCCAACTCCTAACGTATTTGGTGAAATGGGCACCGACACACACCACAAGAACGACGGCCTTCACAGAGTGAATGTTTCTGCCAATGAATGATTAGCCTGTTGCAGTTGTATTGTATCAGTTGTAACTAATTGAACACCTGTTTATTGATTGTATTGAAAAACGTACAGTTATCAGCTATCACTATAGATCAGTAGTTATGAGATTTACTTGGAGGCCGTCACTTGCGGTGTGTGTTCTGCACTCGACGCGCTCTGGTTCACTCAGACACAGAGCAATTACAACATATACAGAATGGGCAAAAATTACGGTAACAAGATAAAGTGATCGTGCAAAAGCAATGCGGCCTAGAAAACAACAGTGGATAACAACAAAATATTCGTAGAAACTTATCAAGCATAATATACTATCACTTTTCGGGCCGCGTTGATACCTGAGTGAAGTCAGCTCGGGAAGCGCATCGTGCGTGTTGCGCGTAGGTTGGTGACATCGAGCTTGTCTTAGGCTATTCTTGAATTCATCGATGCAATGAACTTGTAGCAGGCCATCGTCTTCAGCAAACTCCACGCAGAAGCCCATTTGATTCGAAATGGACGAATAAAACCTACTATTTCAGTGTCATCGATTCCGGAAGTTATGCTCCATCAAGGCTGCGCAACATGCGCTTTGTGTGCAGGCGGTCAATTCAACTGATGCGGCCAGTGGGTCTTCAAGATTTTTTTCAAGACAAGAAGAGGTTCAGTTTCTTCTCTTTAGCCAGGTGCATTTATTAAGTTTGAGGGGGCTGCGAAAGTTCACCGCTATTGCCGTAATATTTGCCCACCTTGTAAAATCCCCTATAGGTATAGGAGGGCCAGAAATCGCATGGGGTCCGGCGACAACATGGAGTGGGGTTGGGGTTGTAAGGG